TCAATCTAGGCATAGAGCTGTAAATTTCCCTCTAGACATTGTTTTAGCTCCATCCCATAGTTTTGGTGTGTTGTGTCTTCATTTTTATTCATCTCAAAGTATTTTAATTTCTCTTTTAGTTTCTTCTTTGATTCATTAGTTGTTTAATTCCACATATTTGTGAGTATCCCAGGTTTCTTTCTGTTATTTGATTTCTAATTTTATTTCACTGTAGTCAGAGAACATAATTTGTATTATATTAATTGTTTTATGGCCTAAAGTATAGTTTATCCTAGAGAATGTTCCAGGTGCACTTGAGAAAAATGTATATCCTGCTGTAATGGGTGGAGCATTCTATAGATGTCAGTTAGGTCTGGGTGGTTATTAATGTTGTTCAAGTCCTCTACTTCCATTTTGATCTTCTTTCTAGTTATTCTACCCATTATTGAAAGTGGGATACTATAATCTTCTATTATTGTTAAATTATAGAAGATTCTATCTTCATTTCTGATGTGTATTTCAGTGCTCTGTTGTTAGTTAAATATATGTTTATAATTACTATAACTTCCTGGTTGATTGACCCTATTGTTATTAGAAAATGTCCCTCTTTATATCTAGTAACATTTCTAGTTTTAAAGTCTATCTTATCTAATATTAGTATAGCTACTTCAGCTTTCTTGTGGTTGCTCCAGTGAAGAAATTGCTTTTTAGCCACCTTTTTGGCTCACATTTCAAATGAAACATTTCACCAGCTAACAAACTCTCGTTGGGCTCTAGGAATAGTCTACAACACAAAGACCTGTGTGATGTGAAAACTCTTGTGTCTAGATAGAACCCTCTTCATGGGATTGCTTAATTGCTTAATTGTCCTCTTCACTTCATCCTCAACAAATTTAAGACTCTTTTCAAATAAGTGGGAGTCCTTATGACCACAACTGAAAGTTAAGGAAAATAAAATTAAAGGAAAAAGAAGTCAGGAAATATTTATAAATATTATAGGAATAAACAAGTGCTGGTCCCTAGACGGGTGGCTCAGTTGGTTGAAGCATTGTCCCGTACACCAAAATGTTGCAGACTAGATTCCCAGTCAGAGCACATACCTTGGTTGTGGGTTTGATCCCTGGTAGGGAAGCAGGAAACAGTTGATTGATGATTCTCTCTATTTCTCTCTCTCTCTCTCTTCTTCTTTAAACACGCACACACATACACACACACACACACACACAAGCATATCCTCGGGGGAAGATTTTTTTAAAGTGCTAGTAAACAAGATATTTACTCTTGAACCCCTCAAGTCAGAAAAGCTCCCTGAATTTTTTGGATCGCTCACTTGCTCTGAACCTACTAGAAGAATTCCGAGATGATGGCAGTGGGAAACGAAGTAGAGTGAGGATGGCACACTGGGGCCTCTGTCTGTGTGCCCTAATGTGCCAGAATATTACAGATTTCAAAAGGAAGAAAGAAAACATGTTAAAAAATAGATGTAATCCCATTCTGAGCAAGGGTCCCTGTTTGATCTTCCCTGGTGTCCGAGCCCACTTGTTTTGAAGGATGACAGCCCAGATACTCCCGTTGGATGAGAAAACCTCATAGACTGTGCCAGTTTCCTGTCACTGCTTTGAGCTCCAATAGTTCAGGAAGGGGAGGGTGGCGTGACCTCTACCTCGCTGTGTTGGCATGAGTCCCTGGTGACAGTGTGTCTGCGCTGCTGGGACACTGGCAATCTTTGGAGTAGCTCTTCCTCACTCTTTCAACAACTAGCCAATTTGGTCTCAGGAAGCCACTCTGCCGTGGTGGCTCTGTTTGGAAGTCATTTTTAATTTTGTGACAAAGACAAATGTGTCCTATGGGAATAGTAAGTGGTTTTACTGGTGATATTAATGGAACTGTGACCTCTTCTGTATCTATGATCCTGCAAAACAAAAAATGTTTGTATTCTAATATGTCAGGCAAGTTCATTCTTAGCCCTTCCTTGAAGCAAACTGCAGAGGAAATATACTATTAATAAGCCCAGAGAATATTGTTTGTGAGTGTGTGTGTGTGTGTGTGTGTGTATCTAGTCATGAGTTCATTTGCAAACACAGTGGATACAAATTATGTGTTTTGAATTATGTTAGGATGGACACAACTCATTGGTTCTGACATCTTTGAACAGAATTGCAGTGGGCCCAGTGCTGACATCGGTATTGAATTTTAAAGGGCAATAGCTGTAGTAAAATTCAAGTGTTTAGGGGATCCAAAGTGACAAAGAAAAAGAAGAAAGCCAAAGGCACATTGAATGGACCTCTTCTATTTTCATTTGGGATTGGCATTCATTAGCCTAGATGTGACTACGCTGATGTTTACTATTTCCTGCAGGAACTTTTATGCCAATGTCCTTGGTTGAAAATGGTTGCTTAAGGAGACAGTAAATTAAATGTGAAGGATTTACAGTTTAGTTACATGAATTAAACCATTTCCTGGTGTTTGTGTTTACCTTGGGACTCACAAAGGAGACAAAATATAGACTCACAGGAGGAAGGGAAGGAATGATCAAATACCAATAGCCTCTGCCTGATTGTCTAGCTCAGCAAATTTATTTAGGAGACGAATTTCGTGCTGATAATGAATCTTTGTCCCTGTTTATTAGCTTTTCCTCCCTGCATATGCTATTGCACACTTTGAGCTTTCCTAAACAGACATAATTATTCAATGTCATGATTAATATCTCATTCTATTATATTGGACAAAACTAAATCAAATGCAAATTTTATACTTTTCCTCAAGTAAAAAATGGATGGTGCTTTATAATTTGAGACTTAAATTCAATAATTGAAAATGTTATTATAGCCCTGGCCGGTGTGGCTCTGTTGGTTGGCTGCCGTCCTCTGCACTGAAAGGTTGCAGGTTCGATTCTCCATCAAGGCACATGCCCAGGTTGTGACCTCAATCCCCAGTAGGAGGCATGCAGGAGGCAGCAGATCAATATTTCACTCTCGATATTTATCTCTCCCTCTCCCTCTCTCTCTAAAATCAATAAAAAAAAATTTTTTTAATGTTATTGTAAAGTAGGAAAACTGACAAATACAGAAGGTAAATGAGAAAATAACCTATGAAGTCACTACTCAAAGATAATCATTAACATTTTATTATATGAATTTTGTCTTTTATTTTGGTGCCATTTTATGAATATATAACTTTTAATAGTTAATAGTTAATATCATGAACATAATTTGTGATTTTTATATATCCTAACCCCCTCTTTCCAATAAGTTCAAATTTCTCATAATAATAGTACTCACACATATATAGTACTAATCTGCCAGGCACTATTCTAAGCACATACATTAATTCATGTAAGCCTCATTGTAACCCTTTAAAGTAGATTTTATGAGTGAGACGCAGGGTAAAATGATCTACTCAAAGTCTCACAACTAGTAAGGGGCAGAGCCAGGAGTCAGACTCAGGTTGTAAAGTGTGTGCTTTTAATCACCATGATCTGTTGCCTCCCTCTGATTGTCCACTTCTGAAAGGCCCTGGCCCGAAGCTGTCCTGTGTTCTTCTCAGAATTCCTCTAAGTCTAGAAAGAATGACATGCCACATACTTTTCCTGGAACATGCGAAAATCAGCCCTGTCTCTGAAAAACAACTGCCACCTACAGCCCTTCCCCTGGGGAGCCCTCCCTCAAGAGAAGGCTGGTGATCTAGTCCCAAAGAGAAACTGCTTCCAGGCCTGGCTCTGTTCATGTCCACACAATTCATTTCATCTGTTTACACCTGTTTTCTCATCTATAAAGTGATGGGGCCATACAGCCCTTCACTCATTTATTGGCTCATTCATTCATTTACTACACATTAGGCAATCTTGCCTCTATTTCCTCTCCTCTAGGAGTTCATCATCCAATGTGTAGCCAGAGAAGTAAACTGCCAGTTCAGTGTCAGTGTGTGAAGTGTGGTGATGGAGAATGCTGGGGATGTTGGGAAGCTCCTAAGATGAGCTGGGGCAGAGAGAGGGGTTAAGGAAGGGGCTAGCCTGCAAGGCTTCCCAGAGGATGAGTAGGAATGGTTTAGGCATCTAGGGGCATAAGACGTATGCTGTGATGATAGGGTCTCTCTAAGGACCTCTCTAGGGTGTTTTAAACCATCCCATTCTCAGTGGGCTGCCACAATGTCAGCAATGGCACCTTTTTTTTTTGCTTAAAATTACAGGAATTTATTGTTTCACATTCTAGAGACTAGAGGTCTGAAATCATGGTTTCAGCTGGTCTATGTTCCCCTGAAACCTGAAGGGGAGCGTCCTTCCATGCCTCTGACCTTCTGGTGGTTGCTGGCTGTCCTTGGCTTCCCTTGCCTTAAAGCTTCATCATTCCAGCCTCTGCCTTTGTCCTCACATGGCATTCTCCCCTGTGTCGGTCTTCAACAGCCAACTTTTTATAAGGACACTAGTTATATTGGACCAGGGGCCCACTTAATTGAAGTAATTACATTGGCAGTAACCCTCCTTTGACCCAAATGAGGTCACATTCTGAAGTACTGGGATTAGAACATATCATTTTGGGGAAACACAGTTCAACCCATAGCAATCACTGGAGCCACCATTGAGCCTAGGCAACCATTCCCTACTTACCGTCTAGTTTCTCCAATTCATTCTCCACTCAGCATCCAGAATGAGCTTCCTCATCTCCAGCAAGCAGGTGGGGGCCTAATTAGTTCCTTCAGGTCCAGACAGAGAGATTTAACATCGGACTTCTTTTCATCTGGGCATCTCAGGCTGAAACCAAGGGAAGATGGAAACACAGTAACTTCTGAAGAGATCACTGTCGGTGGATTTCCAAGGGCAAGGGAATGGTACATGTGAGGATGTTTCTAATAGGATCTGATGCTCGTTCTTGAACCCAGAAGAATTACAGAGAATGTGTGGATTTCATTATGGGATGATGTACTGTGGCAGCGTCCATATGGCCTCACCAGCTACAGGGTCTAGATGTTTATAATATAATCATTGATATAGACATAAATTTCTCCACTTTCTTCTCATTCAGATACAAGTCGACCTTTCTTGGAGATGCACACTGAAATGCCTGAAGTGATAAATATAACTGAAGGAAGGCCGTTCGTCATTCCCTGCCGGGTTACGTCACCTGACATCACTGTTACTTTAAAAAGGGTAAAGTTGAGCAATGCTATTCTCGGAATTTTTTTACTGCAAATGAGCATAGTGAATTAATTAATTTTTTCCTTAGACAGTTGGGCTTCTCAGTGGGCTTTCAAATCACATCCTTTTACCATAAAGCATGAGTGCTACATGTTATACCATGCATGTATTTAAATGGAATAAAATGATCATGTCTTAAGCAAAAATCAATGTGAATAATGAAAGAACTAAAATCATGAAAATTTTTGTACTTGCCACAAATCCAAATGTCTGCAAAGATGAGAAAAAGCTTACACAACTGATAACTTGGCAGAGTGGTGAATCCAGGTTTTTGCTAAAGACAGAGCTGTCAGGCAGGTGCCCACCCCAGCTCCCACCTTTGGCCTGAGCCAGGAAATTCTTGGTAACAAAAGGCTTTGCTCCTGCTGGGCATCCAAACGTAGCCTCTTGGGGGCGGGGGGGGGGGCAGGAAAAGAATGTTATAAATGAGATTTTTCTTCCTATTATGTTGTAAGATGTTCGTAAGGATAAGAAAAAAAGATTTAGGTTCGAATTTAATAAAAACAAACGCTAAACTGTGGCAGTCCCGCTAATTCACCAGCTACAGGAGTTTAGAAATACACTAAGACTAAGAATTGAATAAAAGCTCCTATACTAAGAAATTCAGCCCCAGGGCCACACACACACACACACACACACACACACACACACACACACTAGTGAATCCTGAGAGCTTAGAGCTTTAAGAGAAAAAGTTAAGACTGTCCCACCACATGTAGCTACTCAGGGTGTACTAGCCTGTGTGGTGCTGGTCAGTAGGAGAAGTTTAGGGTGACTTGCAGTGTCCCCTATGGACCTTGGATAGTGAAATGTGATGGGGTATCTATCTCCCTGTCTTCTTCCTTTGCATTCACTCTCCTATATTGTTCATTTAAGCCTTCAGTACAGTCCATCAGAGACAGGTTTGGGCTTCTGTTACATCTGTGCATCATTGCCAGAAAACATAAAATCCAAGTTGGAAATAGCAGAGGAGTCTAACTCCATTGGTCTTAGAAAAAAACTGAGAGTAAGGGACCCGTATCCAGACTTCTTCAGTGTCCCCACTGTAAGTGCCTTGGAGGAAGTCACAGGCCTCCCTGCATGGCTTCTTACCACCCTACACTCACCCGCTGGACAAACTGGCATGTGACCAACCCTCTCTCTGCCTCAGTGTCCTCATTCAGAGATGGGAGCAATTACAGCAGCACCCACCTCACATGGCTGTTAGGAAGCCAAGGGGGGTAGTTTATGGAAAGTACTTGGAACAATGCCAGGTGCAAGTAGCCCTAATCAAGGGTGAGCGCCTTTATTATTTAATCTAGCAGTTTAATACTCAATACCGGATTACTATCTAGTTGTTTTCAATAGCATGGCATCACTCCTCTTAGTCTGATATGTTAATTGCTATGTGATTGGTATGCAACTTCTCTGTTTCATGCAAGCCCCCAGTTTTTTGCCCCTAATGCAGATCTGCTGCAAGGAACATTCCCAAATTCCCACACGAAGAATTTTGTGGGGTGGGGGGAGTTTGTTTACTCTGTTTTTCTACCTAAGATCAATGAGAGAGAGAGAGAGAGAGAGAGAGAGAGAGAGAGAGAGAGAGAGATATGAACAAAGCTCTAACAGGGATTCTGGTTTGACACATACTTACTGAAAATAATCTAACCTATTACATATATATGCTGACATGAAATTAATGTAAGGTCCCTTCCATTGGGCCTTTTCTTCCAATTTGCCACCCGCTCCCTCTCCTTTTCCTGTGCCTGCTTTTTCAGAGCCATTACCTGCTGGACACCGGCCTCCCTGTCAGTCCTTTCTTTCTCCTGCCTCTATAACATGTGCAGCCACTGCCGCAGCTGACGAGCTACATAATCTTTTGCTATTTTAGCTCTTGTCAGCTACAAATAAGAAACCCTACTGGTGGCAGTAACGGATAGATTGGAACAAGATAAACACTTTAGAGGGAATTTTACTGTTTTTAAGCTGTGCGGAGGAAATCCGCCAGCAACCCATCTCTCAGATTCAGCACACGCTTGTTTTCACGTATTTTTAAAGCATCATGATTTCAATCCCTGACTTAAATTTTTCTGAATTTTTCCCTTAATAGTTTGCACTAAGTTAGAATATTGTTTTTCCCCACTGAGTGCAAAGCATCCCTAGGTTTGCAGAGAGATGCTGATTTACTAAAACATAAAACGCACCCTCAGTCCCTTTCAGCTATTCATAAGCAGGATGTCATTCATTCCAAAGCCAAGCAACACTCAGGTAACATATTTGCATATCCAGACATTCCCTGGGAGAGAGGCACTGGTGACTTTGGGGATAGAAATTCAGCCCCAGGACCACAAATCCCAGCCAGATTAGCTTCTTCTACAAGTAATATAAACAAATGATAAATGGATAGAGTGAGGTAAGGGGTCCTTTTTAAAAGAAGATAGAAAAGATTCGAAACTTCTTCATGGCAATTTGGCCTTTCCTCTAGGTTATCTGGTTTTTTCCTTTCCAAGTTGGGACAAACAATAGAGGCAGTCAGAGGGTAGGCACTGCCCCTGCACGGGGCTGGCAACCTGGCATCGGGGCAGTGGGCCGGGCCCCTCTGTGGAGCAATGATCCTTTAAAACGTCTAATCCCAAGGCAGACTGTTTATACGATAGTCTTTAAAAATGAAGTCCTTGGGGCCTAGAAGAAGGCATAAGGGGACAATCAGGTCCTGGATTCTTCTCTTCTGTTTGGACTCACTGTGGTTGGGAACACTTCAAAGAATTGGAGAGCTCTCCAGCCATCACAGTGCCTCCGGCCTCCGCATCTGCTGGCAGCTGTCTTCATTGTTGCAGACTCAGCTTGAGAGGGGGGGTCCCCCTCCAGAGGCAGTCAATGCCTTTGGCCTTCTCAGAATGACAACCCCGTGTATGCTCTGACTCTTGGAGGATCTGGAGGGATCCAGTCCTTTAAAGACTGTCGCCTCTAGTGAATCATGCGAAATAGGAGGACAAGTTACAGCTTGTTAACAGATAAAGACATTCATGAGGATATCCTGGCAGCCCCAGTGGAAAAAAACACTAATTGGTTTCTCTATTGAGCATCAGGCCAGTTTATTACTAAGGTTCTCAGAGGCCAAAGAGACACAGGCTCCCACTAGAAGTCTGACCTGACCACTGGGCCATCCTAGGTAGTAGGTGCAGCTTGTTGCTAAGGCTGATAATCAGTTATTGTAATTACTCTAACTTATCATAATAAATGTATATATTGCTACATGTAAAGAAAACTGAAGACCCGCTTACAATAAACTGGATTTTTACCTGTGCTATTTGTATTTTAGATGAAAATTATGTTTTCAAAACCTACTAATGAACGCTACTGCCACGGTGTTAATATGATTTTGTTAAAGCATGTTCCTTCCTTTCCAGTTTCCATTTCATACTCTGATCCCTGATGGAAAAAGAATAACCTGGGACAGTAGGAAGGGCTTTTTAATTTCAAATGCAACATACGAAGAAATAGGCCTTCTGACCTGTGAGACAACTGTCAACGGACATTTGTACCAGACAAACTATCTCACATATCGACAAAGTAAGTGATGTTCCAATGGCGAGAACATAAACCAAAATACTCAGGGTTTAATCTGCTTAATGAAACCTTGATTTTAAAACATGTTATTTCTTATACTTGCAGCCACTACAATCTCAGATGTCCAAATAAGCCCACCAAGCCCTGTCAAGCTACTCAGAGGTCAGACTCTGACCCTCAACTGTACTGTCACCACACCCTTCAATACGAGAGTTCAAATCAAATGGACTTACCCTGGTGAAGTGAGTGACCGATTTTTCTATTTCTTCTGTAGGATAGTATTTATTTTTAGTAAGTGAAATGCCACTGTGTTTTTGCAGTGGGAAAATAGGAATATTTGACTCCTATGGCAGTTTGAGTCAATAAAAAAGTTTGGGTTTGGTGGGTGCTTTTTGACCTGGCATTTCATGAATCTGGTAGGCATAGATATGGTCTTTTGATGTGCAGAGGTTTTGTTTTGAAGTGTATAGACTGGTATTTCTATTGCATGATTCTGAGTGGAAAAAGGGATTGTTTCATCCTTGGAAACCATTCTCTAGGATTTAGAGATGAGAGAGAAATTTATCACTAATGCCAGGCAGGGACTATCTTTTGTAACAACAACAACAAAAAGTTGTCAGCGTATTCATTTAAGATACTGGCAGACAGTCAGGCTCCTGATTGGAGCATGTTTGGAAAAGATAATACAACCCAGCCATCCAGTGTTCCATTTGCTAAGTGACAAAGAGCAATTCTGTCCTTCAGAAAAATGAGAAGAATGAAGATGGAGTTGGGTTCCCTTACAAAGTTAAACATCCTTGCAAACAATTACTCTAAAAATGTGTAGATGGAGAACCTGTGATAAACTGTTCAGAAATGTTTGACAGTAGATCCAGCCCCCATTTCTTGTGTATCAGTGTGAGTTGTGTGGCATATCCCCAGTACAGTCCTCTGTTATGCTATTCAGATCACCCAATAAGTTCACTTATGATTAAATTATGTGCGAAAGTTTAATGCATCAGCCCCAAGCTATTGTTTTTCATCAACATTTCTTGCCCTGGAAATTGAATAATTTAGCAATAAAAAGGTGTAACAAGTGCCCTGTAGGGACACATTAAGGATACATTAGCCAAAGAATTTTCTAGAAAATGGTATTGTTTCATTTAAATAGAAATGCTATGACTTATAGCAGTGATGGCGAACCTTTTGAGCTCGGCGTGTCAGCATTTTGAAAACCCTAACTTAACTCTGGTGCCGTGTCACATATAGAAATTTTTTGATATTTGCAACCATAGTAAAACAAAGACTTATATTTTTGATATTTATTTTATATATTTAAATGCCATTTAACAAAGAAAAATCAACCAAAAAAATGAGTCCGCGTGTCACCTCTGACACGCGTGTCATAGGTTCGCCATCACTGACTTATAGCAATATTTTCTGGGTTTTGATAGAAATCGAATATTCTTGATCAATCAAATATTCTGAATAAATGCCAAGAGGGGAGAAACTTTTATCCTGTTAGTGTTGCTACTCTAAGTAAGAAAATGATGATACATCTGTTGAAAGACAATAACCTTCTAAAATGGCCCTGTCCAGTAGAACTTCCTGAGATGGAAATATTCTATATCTCTACATCCAATATAGTAAACACTAGCCACACATGGTTATGAGCACCCAGAATATGGCTGGTGTGACTGAGGAACTGAATTTTTAGTTTTGTTTACTTTTAACTTAAATAGCTGCATGTGGCTGGTAGCTCAGTACTGGACAACTCAGTTCTGAAACACGGGGTCAGCTGTTTTACAAGGAAGAAGTGACATCGATGGTACTCTGACTTGGAAATGAAAGTATTCTCAAAGGGAGAGTAATAACTCCATAACTGAAGTTGCTGAAAGCCCCTCAATCTGTTAGTTCAGGGGATTTTTGATATTGGAGAGTGACATTTTCTCCCTCGTTACTGCGGAGAATGAAGAACATGACTTAAATGTGTGTCTGTTTCAACAAGGCAATAAAGGGATAGGTGGGTAGAAATTACTAAACATGACACAGAGGAGAGAAGTTCAAGACACAAATATCAGTTCTGGACAGTTTCCAAAGTCTTTTTTCCATGCCCTCTCATGAGGAAGAATTGAGAGAAGGAAATAACATATTATGTGCTATAAAATGTAATGCTAAAAAAAAGAGAGAGAGAGGAAGGAACAATGAAAGGAAAAGGCAATGTGATCTCATCTTCTCAAAGCCAGAGCGGTCACTGGGGTCAGGTCACAGTGCGGACCCCAGGCCTGCTCTAGGTCTCCCCTGAAGCAAACACGAGACAGCACCCGCCAAGTGTCGGCTGACCACGTCGATGGTTTTGCATGTCCCCTGATCCATTTAGTGTGATTTAGCAGAAATGGGCAAGCATTGTTCAAATGGTGAAATAATGAAGCTGGGAGTGTTACACCTTAGTAGGTGTGGCCAGGACTCACTATCTTTTCCTTCAATTCAAGTAAGGAAGCAGAAGAAAACTCACATGGTGATTTATTAAGAAAAACACTGTCATTAAATCAGTGCTAAGGATATTGCCTGCGTTTGTGTGTGAGATCTATGCCTAGAGAATACGTGACTGTTGAGAGGGGTGTGTGTGCTGGAGGGAAGACTAGATTTCCACTCAAAGACCTAGTTTTGCCTTCTTTGGCCGGTGTCTCTGACACTTCAGTGTGCATCTGTAAAAGGACAATAATCCTGCCAGTCTGACTGGGTGGTGGTGAGAAACAATTGAGATGATGTCTGTGCAAGTCCATCTGAAGAAGAGGAAGTCCTCAAAAAAAATGCCACTGTGCGCATACTTGAAATAACCAGACAGAGATGTAATTTCCAAACCTTTTGCTCCAGGTGGGTTTGCTTTTCAGCATCAAATGTTGATCTCGGTAATAATCCGAGAAGTGCTACCACTTTAAGCGTGAACAATTACTACTTCTAATTTGTTATACATTTTATTTCTAGACAAATAAGAGTGCCTCTATAAGGCGTCGATTTGACCAAAGCAGTCCCCATGGCAATATATTCTACAGTATTCTCGTTATTAACAAAGTGCAGAGCAAAGACAAAGGCATTTACACCTGTCATGTGACAAGTGGCCCATCCTACAGATCTGCGAACACCTCAGTGCTTGTATATGGTAAGCAACTCAAGCTCTGCTTTCTAGCCATTGTGCTTTGGGGGAGGGTTCTATATACCAAGTAAATTTTCTTTTGGCCAACAGGAACACTGTCACCTCTCCCCCCTGCCAAAAAGCAAATCACACTAGGTGCTCTTGTAATACTTTTGAATTGAACAGAGAATCTTTTCCTTACAAATTTATTGTGGTTAATAATAACTCAGTTAGGTCACATTCAAAGCTATATGAAATCCTTTATTTAGTGTTGCTTATAAACAAAACAGAAAAATAGGATCATTTTTACCTTTATTTTCAGAAGGAAATTTCTAAGGTATTAATGTAATTTAGAGAAATAAAAATATGGTGCGATAAATTATTTAGAATTGATGCTTTTTTATCTCTGGTTTTACTCTCAAAAAATCCTAATATTTTTGCTCAATTTCAATAGGCAAATTCTTTTAAGAAAATACTTAATGCTCTTTAGAACCCTCAAAAACCTTATTCATCCCCAGTTTTGAAAAGAAAAAGTGTAAGGAGCAGAAACTAGGGAACAATTCTATCAGTGCCTTTCATACTCTTTTGACTTTCTCCAGTTGTTTTTTTTATATAAAATTAGCTGTTTTAGGGTGCCTGGAGCAACTTTCTCCCATTGTATTCATATGGCTGGGGGGATGTTTAGAAGTATCTTTTTAAATTTTTGTTGTTGTGATATAGACCCTTAAGGTGTTTCACTCTCTGTTGGCCTGAAACTGCTTTTATGCCTCTGGGACTTGCAACCACTTGATTTGAAAGTTTTTCACCAGTTAGGGTACTTTTAAGTTATTTTACTCATTGATCACTATTTGGGCTCATTGATAAGCTTGACCATAATTCAGCTGTTTTTTTATTCATTGCTTAGACCCTTCTTTAATGAGGGAGTGAGTTAGTGTTTTTGTTTTGTTTACATAAATATAGCCTTTTCTAATGTATTGATCATTTCTCCTTTCAAAGATGAACCATTCATTACTCTGAAACATCGAAAACAGCAGGTGCTTGAAACTGTAGCTGGCAAGAAGTCTTACCGGCTGTCGATGAAAGTGAGGGCATTTCCCCCGCCAGAAGTGGCATGGTAGGACTGACATTATTTTCCTATCAGTTCATGATAAGGTTTGTAAGTCTGAAAATGCAGGAGCTCACTGGCTTGATTTCCTAAAAATAATCAAGATAAGTTCCCAGGACAGCAGTGGAGAGCTAAGAACTGTGTTGAGTCTGGCTGGGAGTGTTGCCGGCAGGAAGGGCTAGAGGGAGGAGCGGTCCTGTGCCAGGGTGGAGCGGGGATTAGGGTTTTTTGAGTGCTCATTGCAGTTTAGGCATTCATTCACCCTGACTAAATTTCTGCATCTCTAAACCTTCCTATGATGTCAGCATCCTCTGAATGGAACATGTTGGCAATGACTAGGAAGCCTCCTGAATAAATAACATGCTCTATTAACCCTGGAGAAGTGGACCCTTGTGACGAGGATAATAATTCTCTTATTATCTGAAAATAATTCTTTTATATACAGCTGGGTGAAAATTCCAGTCTTGTTTTAAAGTCAAACAAACATTAATAAAGTCAAGACTTATTCCATTGCAGGGGTGGACAAATGCACCTACTTGAACTAATTACGTTTTTTTTGGCTCAAAGTTTGCATATTCAGAAACTCCTTAAGCATTTTTTTTTCTGGTAGCAGCACCTGATGTAAAACAATGTAATCTGTTTAAAATCTGCAGGCATTTTTAAAGCACTTTTGAGTGCCAATATCTTTGGCTTTAACTATTACATTTTAAACAAAGAGTATAGTACAAAACCAATTAGGAAAACAGTCCAAACAATATAAAAGTGGTGCCATTTTAGAATCTCCTCAACCAGAGATTACTTTGCTTTCATTATCGTATGAAATAGTGTTTATTTTCAGTTTCCTCAAATAGTTAATAGACACTTAAAGAGAAAATTAGATTTGTTCTATGCCCCTTCATGCTGTTGCAGTAGAAGAGAGATTGGGGGAGGGGGCTTCCTAATATCTAAGATATTAATGTATCTCTCTAGGAGGTACATTCCTTCTTTCCTCATCTGAGAGTATCCCCATCTATTAAGCAGTACCAATTTTTTCAGTCACTAAGTAGCAAGGACCTAAAACAAAACAGAAAATCAATCCATTTTCAAAAATACTGACTTGTTAATAGGAAATACTTTACAGTAATACTAAGGTGATATTTGTAATCACAAAACAGAGCACAGTCGTTTTAAATGCTTGGGAACTGAGACCCATTCGTAACAGGAATGTGTTTGCAGGACTGTGTGACACATGCATGGATATGAAGTAAAACCACGCTCAATATTATATACCTTTACACAGAACACAATAAACTCCTAACAGATTAAAAACTGCTCATTTTAAGAACCTTCCAGTTTAATGAGGTTACAGAATTTTAAAGTTAGAAGAGACTTTTGAGGAATTCTATAGAAAACTTGGAGAAACCGAGGCTGGCACGGGCACGCCAGGTGCTCAAGTGCAGTGGCCGAGCCAGGCCCGCTCAGGCCTCCTGGGTCTCAGTGATGTAGGAAGCTGCATGATAGCGAGGCATCAATTCTGTATTTAAAGTTAAACTTTTTAAAACGTTTATACCTTTTGTTTGTGAGTTTTGTGCCTTAACTATTCTTCAGGGGGAAAATCTTGATAATCTTGATTTCACTGTAGTTTTTGAAAGGGACAACTGCTGTGACCATTTATATAGCTAATAAGAACTCCACATGAGATCACAATAGGAAAGTCTATTTTTATTTTTATCTGGAGAAGTGATCTAATTGATCTGACTTACAATGGCCCTTGTATTGCTGGTGGAGCCTCATGGAAAATATCTTGGAGGGAATCGCCCGGTGCTTCTGGGTTACTACTTAAGTCACAATGGTGACCAGAGCCCTTATGGGTACATTGAACCATCATTTCTCTGTCTCCCTCAGCTTACTTACTTCTCTTTGCCAATAAATATGAAGTGTTTCCCAGACTAAAAATCGCATCTGGCTCTGGCCGGTGTGGCTCAGTTGGTTGGGAGTCGTTCTGGGCACTAAAAGGTTGCCGTTAGATTCCCGGTCAGGCACATGCCCAGGTTTTGGGCTAGATCCTCGGTGGCGGAGTGCAGAAGGCAGCCAATTAATATTCTTGTTCTCATATCGATGTTTCTCTCTCTCCCTTTCTCTCTTCTAAAAATAAAAAAAAATCTTAAAAAATAATTAAGAATAAAAATCACACCCGGCTTTACTGAAAAGTTAGTATCTAAGTTTTTTTAAATGGATGCTGAGGATCAAAGGCTTGACATGCATAAATTTGAGTTTACAAATGTAAATGGTAGTGTGATCATGCAGACTTACTGATCATGTGTTTAACCACAGGCTAAAAGATGGGTTACCTGTGATGGAGAAATCTGCTCGCAATTTTGTTCATGGCTATTCATTAATTATTAAAGATGTAGCTGCTGAAGACACAGGGAATTACACAATCTTGCTGAGCATAAACCAGTCAAACGTGGTTAAAAACCTCACAGCCACTCTACTCGTAAATGGTAAGTTTACTGTTCAGCCTTTCTCCTGATTTTGGTAAGAGTAATATTAATGAAAATTTGTAAATGAAAAGTCAGTATAACAACATCAAAGAAAAAAAATTTTAAATAAATATTTTAAAAACCACCTACACTCCCATCATAGCTATTTCATATATACTTGTTATCTTCCATAGTAATATGGCTTATTACCAACATAATCATACCTACCATGGGATTGATTTTTTAATGTTCTCAAAACATTTCTACTTTTAAAAAATTGGCATTATTATGAGGGTTTCTTTGTTTTTTGTTCATGTTTTTGAGTCCCTAACATCAAAACAGGTGACAACGTGGTCCTTCTGGTCATGGCCCAGGAACAAGGCAGTAGAACAGCACTTGACTTCTGTCCTGTTCTTCTCCTTCCAGTGAAGCCCCAGATTTACGAAAAGGTGGTGTCATCGTTTCCAGAACCAACTCTCTACCCACTTGGCAGCAGACAAATCCTAACCTGTACCACTTACGGTATTCCTCAACCTACAATCAAGTGGCTCTGGCATCCCTGCAACCATAACCATTCAAAAGCAAGGTAGGGACAAATCATTTCTTGACTACCTTTCAAATACTTTTGGTCACCTGGACTCAAGATTCTTTAATGAACACTGGTGGGAGTTTGCAGACGGGATGTGCAATATATTGGGGACAAAGACTTCGCCTGCCTCTGGAAGATGTAGGCAATATCTATCCTTCTCCCTTACCCATTTCTAATTTTTCTCTCTGGTTTATAGTTTCAGGAGCACAGGGACAGAATTAAGGTCACCCTGGGAGCCATTATTTAGAATTCAGGTTAGAACCCAGTCTCTTGTTTTCTAGTGGAGGACCCCGGGCTTTGGCTCCACCACTGATCTTCCCCATTCTCATCGTCTAAGCATTGGCTATCAATCACATGAGATCTTCCCAACACCGGTCATCACTACTGTTCATAGGCTTTGCTCATACTTTCCATCTGTCTGAAAGGCGCTTCTACCCATTTTCTATTTCCCGAGAAGTCCTCCTTTATCCTCCAAGGCTCAGCTCTTACGTCACCTTCTCTGTGAAGCCTCCTGACTCCCTCATGCTGACTCCTCTCTCCCTCCCCATCATAGCAGCGCTTTGTGTACACCACTGTCCCGTCACCATGTGCACACAAGCTCTGAACTGGTAGAGAGCACTTCTGTATCTTAGAGCCTGGCACACAGTAGATACCACAGCGTATTTGCTGAATGAGTAAACCCCGCCCCCCTCGGTTAACTGTGCAGTGTCCCCCTGACCCTGTGTATGCTGGAGTCCGGTTTGCTTTTTGCCCGTTTCTGTTTGGTTTAGAGGAATGGTACAAATGATAGTTCATGGGGCTAATTTGATGAGCAGGTATAGAAGTGACAGGTAAAACAGTAAGATATTATTGAGATCGCCCAAGAATTGTCATTATGCTATACATTTCCTTTATTGTTTTTAATTCCACTTGCAGAATGTTTGAGAGAATTGCTATTAGAAAATTTAGCTTGATAAAAAGTAAACAAGACATAACTCTACCATAAACAAATAGAAGTGGCTATTTGGTTCTCTAGATTCTTCCTACAATTTCAGCTCTTCTTTATTTTGTGTTTTGATCTTTTGTTCAAGGCATATTATTTTGATCTTGAAAGTCACTGGTGAGTTATGGAATTCCTGAGAAGTAGCTGTTTTCATACATGTCTAATTTCTCATCTGAAATATGGAGAACTTACAAATCTTGAATACCTGTTTAACCATTGTGGATATTCAATCCAAAAGAAAGTGAGATATACTGAGATTTCACATTATTTTGCTAATTTGGGGTAGGCATCCATATTTATGGACCCATCCCTTTATAAAGCCTACAGATTTATGCTAACATATAAATAAAAAATGAAATAATTTAAGCTGTTAGATATGGATAAAAGTTTAGAGCTAAATTTTATGGAATAACATAGCCTTATATCAATATTTTTTATTTTTGTTTTGATAATAGAAAATCTAAAATTTCAGTCAATTTAGGATTAAACTAGTAGCTATGTTAGAAAAAAGCAATTATGAGTGATAGATTGAACATAATATTATAAAATTAGGTTTGAATAATGCTAATAAAATATAGTTTGGGCAATGAGGTCAGCTGAAGTAAAACTTTGTAAACATTAGCTTTCTTTTTCCAATTTCTTTGTGGTATATGGGAATCCTTCTCCCATGTCACAGAGTTATGTTGCCATGGCCCCAAAAAATGTCTTATTCCTCTTGGAATTCTCTCAAGAGTCGGAGCAGTGCCTCAAAGCTTCAATAAATGCTGGTTGACCATTTGATTTATTCTTTGTGAAAAGCATTCTCTTTTTTATAAGTCACAAGGCACATCAGAACTGAGAGCTTTAACTGTTTCAGTGATGTCTCATTTAAAAAAATATGTTGTTGCTTGAAATTATCTGTTGAAAATGTGCACATTCATAAAAAGTTCTCATTTTTTTTAGTCAATAGACTGATTGAGTAGCTTTCTTGTGTCAGGCCCAGATGTGGTGCGTGGTGGTTAAGTAGTACATTTAACTTAGAAGCATTTCAGAAAGATATATGGGACCCTGGTGCATAGCAAACAAATGGAATCAATCACTCTATTTCATCCTATGAGAGAGAGAAACGCTAAAATTGACAGATCAATGAAGCACGTTTTAATCACTAAAATTTTTTAAAGATGTCTTTACATAAATATATTTTACATACTTATATAACACTTAGATTCCATTGTAGACAGGAATTTTAGTAACATTTGAATAAGGTATATTCTATTGCATAAATTTTAAAAATGTATTTATTCTGAGTTACATAGTAACATATTTACATAGGGGTATCTGTGGGTGATCATCAAAAGAGATTTGGTGATTAATGTATAGCAGATCCTCAAATAGTTGTTTCTTTCAATGTTTCATTATAACATTGATGAGGGAACAAAAATCGTTTCCAGCCAGGGCCGCCATCTGTGGAGTTTCCCGTTTGCCCCATGTTCTGTGGGTTTTCCCTGGGTCCCCCAGTTTCCTCCCACCTCCCAAATATGTGCACGTGAGGTGAACTGGTGTGTCTCCATTGTGCCAGACTGAGTGAGTGTGAGTGTGAGTGTGGGTGTGAGTGGCCCTGTGTTGGAAGGGCACCTGTCAGGGTGGTCCCGCCTAGTGCCCTGAGCTGCCGGAAGAGCAGTCAATATGTTGGAAAATCATTGTCTTACTTGTTTTTCTTAAATGTATGTAGAGCTCATACTGATTTCAATGTTTATTTATTAGAAGTGTTTAAGGTCTTTATTTAGAATTTTGGTGATGTTTTTTGGGACCAAACACATGCCATAGGAACTTAGCTCTTGTCTATATCAATTAGCCTAGGGTAAATTGGTTTCACATTACATGTCATTTTGTTTAAAATCACAGTTTCCAAGAACCTATCGAAATTAAGTGAGGACTTACCATATACACATTATTCTTGAATATGTAGAATAATTTTTGGCATTTAAATTTTAGGCTCTAATTAAATGACATAGTTATATACAGACACAACCAACACATAGTTTGGTTTTGAGGTTAGAATGTGTTTACATAGCTCAGAATTATTAATTGGGTAATGGATCTAAGTTAACATGGCCAGCTGGTTAATGCATCTAAGTTAAAATTCACACTTAATTAAACTTGTATAGTTTTCTGAAGTCCAATAAATATATTGAAATATTTTAAAGCTATCTGAACTATTGCTCAACAAGTTCATCTTTATGGATCTTAAAAACCATAAATAATTTAACATAAATGTCTTCCTTTTAAAAAAGCAAATGTGGTAGGTAAACTGCTGAGCTATGTGTTAACTGAATGACATTGTGGTTTGGGATTCACCTAGAATTTGTTCTTATTCTATTAAAACATGGAGAATAGAAGCGAGGAGGAAAGGGTGGTTACTTTTAAACTCATACCTGATGAGCTGAGAAGAATACGGCAGAATCTTCCTCCCTTTTACTTTGCTGCATATTTGGGTGGTAAAGTAGTGGAACTAAAATATTTCTTTTGAGTTTTTTAATAACATGAATGTAAGTTATTAACACTGAATGAAGTGGAATTTTGGATTTTTCTCATCCTCAGCAGCCGGCAGAGACTTTCAGTAGACATCCCTAGACTTGCTCCAGGTCAGCATGCACATGAACCTCAGTGGCATGCATGAAGCCTGTAGTACCTTTCACATGTGTGTAGTTCACAGCTTCTGTTCATATAAAATAAAGAGAATTATACACACTTCATAGGGAGGACATGAGGGTCAAATGAAGTAATATACATGACATCCCAAAGCACTTAACAGCTGATAGCTCAATTTTGAAAATGAAATATATTTTAATAAACACTGCCTTTATAATTATTCAAAGTGTATGTATACATTTTTTTGAGACACCCTATATTTGAGAAAGGTAAAGAGAGCCAAATAAATGCAAGGTTGTAATTACTGCTAGCATTTGGGGTTAAATAAGACCCCAAAACTTGTAAGAAACTTTGAAAGAATTTTAGGGCTAATTTCACAACAGTGAGAATTTTTGCCTAACATTTCTGAGAAGTGAACACAAGCTGCGGAAAGTAAAATGTAATTTTGCTGTGCTCTAGAAATAGAAATTTAGTAGGTCTGGGTTGTAGAATGAGGAAAATATAACATGACTTTTCAGAAGAAGAAAAAGGAAGGAAATATAGATGCTAAGCAAAAGTAAAAGCAAGAATAAATAAAAGTGTGTAATGAGGGGATGAAGTCCCTCTTCCAGTTTGCGTGACCTGTCCCCTTTGCTTGTTTCCCGTCATAGGAGGAAGTGGTTTTGACCTGTGGGTTGGCTAAGGCTGGGGTGGGGCAGAGTGGGACATAGGAGAGCTGACTCCTCCCTGGGAGTTCCCATTAGAGTTCTAGAACCTTACCTCCCCTCCGGGCTTTTGAACTAAGTAGGACTGCAAAACTGTGCATGCAATGAGCTATTCTTGATCTCGTAGTCCTTGGTGAGTTTTGCGGTGCTGGTACCGACTCAGGAAATATTGTTTGGATAAGGTTGCCCACTGCAAGGAGATCAGTCTGTACAGGAACCGTAACTGTACTGGACTGGAGGGAAGAGCCTTTCTTTGGGGAACAGAAAAGATGGATTCAAGGAGCCCAGGAGAGAATGGGGGAAAGATAGTCTTGGTGTATTAACTCCAGATTTGAACTGCACATTTTCTCAGGAAGAATCTAAGATGTTGAAACACTGCTTTTATTCACATGCACATAAAAGCCAAGAAGCCCCTCCGGTAGTGACTGACAGCTGTCTGCAGGACAAGTTGTCTGTGCCCACAAGCCGGAGGGTGGTGAGTCAGCTTCTGCTGGGCCGTCCTTCCTGGAAGTCTCCAGGAACGCGATCACCTCTCCATCTACCTGGCTGTCTTTTTAAAACTAAGCCTTGCTTTTAAAATATTGATGATCGTTGGGTCTTTAACACAGGGAGGTTTAAGGTCTGCAGCCTTTCATCATTACATTTTGTTTCATTTTTTTACGTTTTGTTTTTAGAGCACA